GTTTTTTTTTTTATTTATTTATTTTCCATAAATGTGTCCGTCAAATCACACACGGCAAACTTTGTAGACAAAAGCTCTTCAGAAAATGGCGGAAAGCAAATGCAAGATTCGAACCCACACTTTCACACCTGATCGTCATCTGGTCTGGGCCGGCCACTGGACTGAAATATCTCGCTAAATCGTATGACATCATTTACGTGCCATATGATAACCCTTGTGATAACACTCTTATTGAGGGTTTCATACTCTTCCAAAATTCAGTCACGTAGAAATATTGAGGCTTTTCACGTGGCACATATAACCCAAATTTTTTCACGTTCACACGAAAATTTATGCGATTACTTTTTGCAAATTACGTAAATCTTTGTATTGTAGGAATACACGTATTTTGTTAAAAGTTAAGATTACTTAAATAAAATCTTTCTGTTGAATTGTTGGTTGTTGTCGACACGGGGTATCTCGCTCATATCGTAAATCTGGTCTTTCACCGCTCACTGCCAGCGTTTTTTTGTTTTTTGGGGGCGGGGGGTGGGGGAGGGGCTGCTAAGAATCGCTATCGCACAAGGAGCCCTGTTCAATCCTCAGTTTTTGGGTTTCGATTGAGAAGAACGTAGATTTTCAAGCATTCGCAGAGAAAGTTCAGAGGACTCGCCATCAGTAGAACTAAGTGGACTAAACCTCTACATTTGAATTAAGAGTATGCTTCGATTCTGATTGCTATAATTAGAGATTTTAAAAAGCATTTGAAAGCTTTAGAGATAAAATATCTGTGATCGAGCTTGACTCCGTCTACAATACTGGGCACAGTTTTCAGTTCAGATATGATTTTTAGTTCTCTTGTTCTTGTTGCGGCTGTTAATCAGCTCACTGTGTTTAGACTAGTTGAGTAAAAAAGAAACAATTGGAAAAGTTTGTTTTCGGATGGAATTAAATATACCGTCATATGATTGCAAGTTATTAAGCTCTTACTCAGGCGCGCTCAGGTACATTAAGGAGGTTCTGTTAACTTCATATTTCTGTCAATGGGCGTTGTATTTTCAACTCTCTCCTCGGCGTACGGAGACGTTTTGAAACAATTCCTCACGTGTTTGAACTATAAAATGCAACAAAGAGAAAAAAAAACAACATATCAAAGCCTCCAAGCTTGAGCTGTTTCATGTAACAGAGTTCTTATTTCTGTGTTAACATTTTCCAGCAAATTATCATTGCCTGCGTCCCTGGCTGAAAACTGCAGACGTTTAAACAACTCAAAAATGTAAACATGTTAAAATAATGCGAGATAGCGTTTTTTTAGCATACACGCCGAATTTAGATCAGATTCAGACAGCAACCTCGTTTCCAGGGCTTTCCGCCCCTCCCAATTTAAAAGGGTAAACGTTTTTAAAAGTTGGAGTTTTTTAGAACTAGAAGCGACAACCACATTTTCCATGCTCTTTCTTCTCTTAACTCACAGTTATGTTATGAATTCCGATTTCTAAAATGCCAGATGTCAACACTGACGTAAAGAAGGTCAAACTTTTTCCTCTTCATGAAGAAACTACTGCACTGCTCTTTTAAAATATCCGGATTTGAAACATGTGCTTTGATATTCATTTGGTATAGTCAGAAGCATATCACCTAGTTCTGGGTGATATGCTTCTGGTATAATTTCCCAACGTGTTTTTATTCTAGACGAAGAGCCTTTCACAGTCAAGTATCAGAGAATGCTAGTCCCTCTTAGAGCAAGTGATCAAGGAACGTGATTCAGAACCACAATGCATCAAAATCGCACGGCAGCTCAAGGTCTGGATCCGCCACTGGTTGCTTCATTTTATTTTTTTGTTTCTACGAATTATTATTCAATCTGTTAGGGAGCTTCGAGAGTTGATCAAATTAAGTGCACCCTCCCTCCTCCAAGAAGCACACCCCGCAGTCCTTCCCCCCCCCCNAATTAAAAATTGCTTTGCGGGTCCGAAAAGTTTCAAGGGCTTTCGAGAAACAGGCCCTTGGATTCCCCAACGAAATGTAGTTATTAATTAATTTGTCTTCCATTTTGACCTCAAATAAAGCTGGATTCCGAGCGTTTTTTTTTTTATTTATTTATTTTCCATAAATGTGTCCGTCAAATCACACACGGCAAACTTTGTAGACAAAAGCTCTTCAGAAAATGGCGGAAAGCAAATGCAAGATTCGAACCCACACTTTCACACCTGATCGTCATCTGGTCTGGGCCGGCCACTGGACTGAAATATCTCGCTAAATCGTATGACATCATTTACGTGCCATATGATAACCCTTGTGATAACACTCTTATTGAGGGTTTCATACTCTTCCAAAATTCAGTCACGTAGAAATATTGAGGCTTTTCACGTGGCACATATAACCCAAATTTTTTCACGTTCACACGAAAATTTATGCGATTACTTTTTGCAAATTACGTAAATCTTTGTATTGTAGGAATACACGTATTTTGAACGAGTTTGTACAGCTCTTAGACGTGACGTGTCTAAATAAAGTATTGCATTATATTGTAATAAAGAGAAAACAAAGCCACAATTAACACTGTCACATTCTCCAACCAGTTTAGACTGTTATGGTAAGCAAATGACGTAAGCTAAGGACGCCTCCACACTACACCGGAGGAATTTGAAAACGCAGCTTCATATTTCTACTGTTAGGCCTACCGTGCACACTAATCCGTCACGACAACGAAGCTTTTCGAAAACGCTCTTCAAACCGGAGGAATTTGAAAACGCAGCTTTATTTCTACTGTTAGGTGTACCGTCCACACTAAGCCGTCACGAAAACGGAGCTTTTCGAAAACGCTCTTCAAACACGCCGACTTTTTGTTTTCGTGTGGACAGAAAACATTTTAAAAACTGGGCTTTTTGAAAACGATGACCCCACGATAATCACGTGATTTCCCTACCCGAGTTTTTTTGCAAACGCAAATCCAAAATGACTGATGATTGTTCCGTTTTTAAAGTCCTGCGACGTAATGTAGACGGAAAACGTTTGACGCGTACGTTGTCAGAGTGAAACGTCCGTTTTGAAATTCCTGCGGCGTAGACGGGGCCCAAGAAGACCCGATGGCTAATTCACAGGTAGAAAAAGGGTTAGAATCGCAGAAATTTGATGCCCAGATCGCAGCGCCCAGCCACAGCGCTGAACACACAGGGTAGACGCTAAAATTCGCGCAAAGTAACAGATGATTCACGAATTACGTTGAATCACGGATCACGCTGCAGGCAAAAACTGCCGTGCACGTGAAAAAGTTTTAAATTAGCAATCACGAATAAATAAAAGCTTCAATAATGTTTTACTAAAAAATAAATAGCCCCAATCACGCTTCACGCAAAAACTATAGAAAACCCTCCTTATTGAATAGAGGCGCGTAAAAACCATGTCTGACTGCAGGTCGGTGTTATGATGACGTCATCCTTACAGGTATGAACATTTTTTAGAAGTATCACAAGTTTCATTTATGTTCCTCTAACCCTTCGGTAATCCCCGCCACCCTCTAAACAGGTGTCTTTCAAAAGGTTTTGTGGAAACGCTTTCCATATACATTGTTATTTATTCCTATCAGGTAAATGGCAGTGAGTTCTACAGAAACAAGGCTGTCCATGTCTATGATTGAACATATGAGGGTGAATTCGCCTTCACTGGAACGTGACAAAACAAAACAAAGGTTGCGTCGCTTACAGTTTTAAGGCATAGGAGTATTGGGGCCAGTTTCTCTTAGGCTTGACCCAGTTATTAGTGAGCTCTAAGCTAAAACTGATGATACTTGAAGGGGGGAGGGGTGGGTATTTACAGCATGCCTTTTACCGCAAACAAATTCTGAAAAAGCTGTACAGAACAGGGCAATGTTTCAGTTTCAGTTGCCCATAGCTATTTTAGATTCCGAGGACATTACTTTAGACAAAAGTTCATTTCGTGAATATTCGAGACACGCTTGTTAGACTTCTTTCAAGCCCAGTTATTTCCGGCGGACACCGTAAAAGCTCGAGTCAGGTCAGTTTATCTTCGTAAATTTTGAAGTTAGTTTCGTTAATCTTCGTAAAGGCTCGGGTTGTGTTCGTCAATCTTCGTCCCTCCTCGGTTACGGTTTGTATTTAATGAGCTGAATGTTTCTTTCATAGTGACTCTTGCCGTTTTTGATGTGAACTCGCAAAAACATATCATTGAAGAAGTCCCCTTTCCTCAGCCAGTCGTCTTTACCAGTTGGTTTCCAGCCCATGTTCAAAACAGCTGAAATGCTGTAAAATGTGTGCGCCAGCTCAGGTCTCTTGCAGTTGATCGTGTAGAAAAGAGGTCTGCCTCGGCGATACCGCGACAAATCCACGTCAGTTCTAGCGAGCAGAAGGGAAGGTGCATCCATACGGGAAACATCTTCAAACTCAACTGTCAAGCTCGAATTTCGCGGCAGTCGTTTTGGAGCTTTGCCTTGGAAAGAAATTTTACCTCTTATGTTGATGTAACCGCTCTGGCTGTGCGGTTTAGCTGTGGTTCGGAGATTCAAAGTGTTAGCTGGCGGAGTTACACGGCGTGCAGTGGTGGATTTCCCGTGTGAACGTGATTTGGCAATCGCCGTGTTGGCTTTGGTGATTGCAGAGTGCGTGCTGGCTCTTGTTGACGGTGTGCTGGAACGGATAATCGGCGTTGTCGAACGGATGATCACGGTATCGCCGTCAATCTTGATAACCGTTGTCGACTTGTCGGTGCTTACTGCTTGTTGTTGCGTTGGTTTGTCACCTTGTCGAATCTCAGGACTCGACGTTTTGAAGTTGCCAAGAGTACCCGCTGAGACAGTCGTTGCCACCGAAGCAGAAATCTGTTCGTGAGCCGATGGGTCTTCAGACTGTTTACATCCCAACAGGCACGTAAACTGGTATTTGGCGTTGAGTGAAAGGAAAACAAACATTCCAATGGCCACAACTAAGAAGATTGTTAACAGAACGATTAAGCACCATAGTAATCGATTTTTACGGATCGTAAACCCAACTTTGAGGTTGTTCTTTTCTTGAAGCATGTTTCTTTCGGCCGAAGCGCCTGTTTCACCGACCGCTTCCACTTCAGACTAAAACTGCCAGACGCATTTTTTGGCTGCAATGATCGCGGTGTCTCAGACATCAACAAATACGGGAAACTTTTCAGCCAATAAGTGTTAGCATTCTCAAGGGAGCTACATGACACTGTCACTCTGAACATAATTGCTGACAAGCATTTAAATCTTCTGCACCTCACTGAAACCCCGCCGAAAGACGAAAGATAAATATTGAGGGATCAGCTATTTTAAGACGATTAGTGATTTCGAGAAAACAATTTAGTTAGCAACAAGACTTGTTTGGTGACCTGCTGTTTGTGGAAGGATGCCGATTTAAGGCTAGGATCGCGTTTTACATATTCCGGGAAGCCAAGCCCTGTATGAAAATCACTGGCATGTCTCGAGATAACATTTAAAGAACCTATTGTTTGCATTAAGTCGATATCTTTGTAAACAAGCACGAAATCGTCTTTCTTGTATGTCAGGCAACTGTCCAACCATTTATATATAGCGGAATCAATTTCCACTTAATTAATGAATTAAATGATCGACTTAGTGAATTAATTACCCATTTCAGCCCGATGTGAATGCAAATTCTCCCGAGTTCCAGCATCGATTTATTTTTTTAACCCTTCGTTCTTCGTTTAGAACACCGTCACGTAACTAATATTCCCTTTCTGTTTATCGAAATGACAAGTACAGGCCAAGATTTGTCCATGATCGACAAATGAAGTTAACCGGTCATCGCACAGTTGGTTGAATAACGGGCAAAGCGGGAAGGTAACTTTTGGAATTATGTTTAATACTGTAGATGGCAAAACTGAATGGGATTATCTGACCCCCCAAATGTGAGTTCTAATGGAATGTGGATTGAAAAGAAGGAGTGTGGAACGCGGAATGCAGAATGAGGCCCGAGGAAAACATGGAGTATACAAGACGCGGTGTATGGAAAATGGGGAGTGTGAAAGATAAGGAGTATAGAAAAGACCGAGTCTTTTATATACTTTGAGAAAAACCTTAATGTAAGACTTTTTAACCCGACTACACTGAATTTTCGAAGTCTACGCGCAAAACGTCGAAACGCTAATAAATGCTAATAATTCTTATGCATGGTGGGCCCGCCAACTTTTTATGCGTGTTCATTAGCCATATTCTCTTAGTGAACTTTACTGAACTCACTCTCTATGTGACCATTATACAAAACTTGTTACGCACTTTTATGACAATTCTTAGGTTGATCATCGCGGAGTTTAACTTATCTAAAGCGTTGCACGTTTATTTTCGGATTGCCCACAGATGGTCGGCTCCGTATTATCTGTAAACTTCTGAAAAGAACCGGTGTTTAATTGGGATCACCAGGTCAACAATATATTTACAACGATAGAAAATAAGCCTTTCTTTTGGACGAAAATTGACGGTTTGATTAGCTAGTTTGGCCAATAGTGGTACTTTGAAGTTTTCAAAAAATACATCAAGATAGTATAATTTTCAACCTAAATTGGTGTCAGAAACCTCTTTCGTCCTCTCATTACGTTGTAAAAATTGATCATCCACTCATATGTTTCAATGTAATTAAAAAAAGCTATTTAAGCTCATTAAAAAGATAAGCAAAATTTTCTTAAAATAGCATTTTTAATTTCCTATCCTAGTCATAGCTGGGAGAACCTACTTCTTATCTTTCTCACCTTCTTCGTTGCTGGTCAAGATGACAAGTTAATATACCAGGCATCCTTCAATATGTGCGCTGACCTTAGCCAGAAGTCAATGAGAATGAAAAATAGGAAAATTTAAATTGTTTGTCGTGTTTGTTGTTCCATTGTGGTCAATAATTCTCTTCCCCTGTTCTCTTCTTCTTCGGCGCCAACCACACCAACAGCCTTGGTGATAAGGGTCGAAAGAAATTCATTTTATACGCATTCTGCCTCTCTCTACCCCTGTGCAATGTTGACAAAACGCTTTCATTTTACCATTTTTCAACATTGAAAGCCCGGTGGGGGGGGGGGGGGGGGGGG